CTGCAGCAAACAAAAATTTCAAAAGCCCGAGATTACGAAACACTTTAATCTCAAAGCTTTTGCAAATCACATTTCTTCTGCAATAAATCTAACAATTTTCATTACATAGCAGACATTCAAAATAAAAAAATAAATGAAAAAAGTAAAGCAAACGAACGAAAAAAAATCAGAGTGAAAAGAATGTAAGCAGAAATTTTAGATTAACCCGAATCTCTTGAAACAGCAAAACTTTAAATAACTAACGTGAAATAAAACTCGTATGACGACCTTTCCCAAATAAAACCAAAATCAAATTAGGAAACAAAGCATCAAATCAATGCAACTGCTCATCTTCCAGTAGATTATGACCACCTTAAACAGAAAGAAGCATCTAAATAACTGGAACAGAAAAAACATAAAGCTTAATAACAAATGGCAAGCTATTAAAACCCTTTCCTCGCTAAAAAGTGAGCAAAAATAAGGAAAGCATGCAGGTAATACCCTTACCCGACAAGAATTGCTGCAAATCTCTCAAGAAGTTCAAAACGAAGAGAGAAGACATTGCATGTGTAACGATTAACGAATGGTTAAAAACCAAAGACAAAAACTTTCTATAACAAGGTACCTTCAAATTATTCAATGTAAGAAAAAATACATAAAGAAACTATTTTCTCCCACCCTCAAGCAGTAACCAATAAAACCTTGATAAGCGAGCTTCCCTGTCCATAGTTTCAGTACACCGGCACAAAAATCTACTCAGGCAAGCCAAATGTGACGAAAGACTTTGGATAATTTAACGGTTTGACAACAATTTAACGATAACAGACGATCAAAATTAATGAACTAAGTCCGCCTTTCCTGACACCAACTACATTTGATCCATAAATCCCCTCATTCAAACAGTGATTAAGTACAAGACATTATGCAACCTATCAAACTGTGCTAAAACTAAACAATGCAGATCTCCAATACAGAATTGGAAAATTAAAACAATTTAATAAAATATTATGCTTCAAATCACCTGTGGAACCACCTCGCACGTTGGGCAAAGATATCACTTCGAAGACTCTGGGCAAGAAGAATTCCAAACAACTAAAAGTAAATAAGCTTGAAAAGAACATCAACTTTTTAAACTTAAAAATAAGCCCAAAAATATTTTTGTTTTTAAGCAAGCCATAGTAAAAGCTGTTTTTGAAGAAAAACGACCACAAAAACTCTTAATTTGTACATAAATATAAACTTAAGTTTAATAGATCATCTCACGGCAAACCGCACAGTTTCTTTAGTTTTCATGTAAGGAATTTTTCAACTTTGTTAATTAGCAGAGTATGGCTGCGAGTTTAACAAACAGGGAGCAGAAATAGAGAAGCTAATTTCTTGTTCAGTCATAATTCACTAAAGTTTAGAAATCCTGCTATTTTTTTTTGATCTAACTTTTTCGAAAGTTGTAACTTTGCTGTCTGTCCGTAAAATTAGCTGATTCTAAATTCAAATGAAAGCATATCTTTTAAACCCATAAACCGTTCACTTATCACGTGTGTCCCCGAAACAAATTGAAATATAAGTTTTTAAATTTTTTAAAGTAATATTAGACTCAAGAGAACTTCCTTGTCCGCAAAATAAATAAAACTCTAAAAGAAAAGCAAGCACTACGTCCGCTAAAGTTAGGTGCACGGTTTCAGTGAAGTTCCGTGAGATTCTTCGCTCCAAATGATTTGTCAGTAATAAACTTTAACCGAAGTGAAGTAACTGAAAATCTGCTCCAGCGAAGGAATTCACTAGAGTACAGAAAAATTATTCAGTTGGACTCATATCGACCGGTATAAATTCCAATCCCAGAAAATCCCACTCCCCCAAACTCTTTTCACCTTACAAGTAAAAGTTCTCCTAAGACCTATGAGATGTATGCTATCTTTTGGATTCAAAATCGGCTAATTTTAGGCACAGATAATAAAGCTACCAAACCTTAGGCTTTGCCGAAAAAAACCGAAAAATTTACGACTTCAAAGCAGTACGACTCGAATAAGCAACTGACTTCTCCAGGTTTGTTCTCTAACTTTTCCGCATGACTTTACTAGCCAGAAAATTTAAAAAAACAAATTCTGAAAATATCAAATGAAAAATTCTGTGATTTGGTGTAAAAAGTTGATATATACGCGTGCATAGTCTTTAAAACTTTACCTGCACTACTGCCACGCCAAATGCAACTAGGCAGACATACACAAAATTCTGAACCAAAAAAGATTCAATTTTGGGAGTGCATCCATCATGAAAAATTGCACCGCTGTACTGTAAAAAAAATTAACGTGGATAGGATCAATCCCACTAGAGAGTAAAAGCTCTCAGTTGTTCTCGAACGAACATCTTGAGAAATCTAGTGATTGAAACTGGTTGTAACTCAGTATATATAAGAAAAATGGTTGTTTTAAAATAATATAAAGAAAAAAGCAGTAGCTAATGACTGGTTTATTTTTAATTGCCATTGCAGAAAGTAAGCAGTAAAAAGTTTAAACACCAACCCCTCCAGAACTCCTGGTTCTGTGGCCACAGTTCACATTCACTGGACCATTTTCACCTTGTGTCGGATTGACACAGCAAGAAAACGGCACACCACCTGCTTCAGGAGAATGAATAGCTTCAGAGGATTTATTGAAATAAATATTTCTTTCCCAATCCTGAGGTGAGCGCATGCCGCAGCACTTGAATGACATCTGCATCCAGTCGATAACGGCTTGAAGGTCAGGGTCTTCTCTGTATAAAACAATCTAAAAATCAGTCAACTGTACAAAACCCAAAAAAGGTGGCCCGCAGTTTTTTGAAAACAATGAGAAGACTGAGACGACAACTCGTCAAAAGTTTTTCAAAAGCACTTAGAAAGAAGAAAAATTAAAAAAGAAGCCCTAAGATTCAGAAAAAATAGTATATTTGCCTCAAAAACGAGTGCATAATATGAAACAATTACAGTTTCATCCAATCGCGCGAAAACTTCTTGTGTTAACCAGTCCCTGGACATAAAAAGTGCAGCAAGAACTGATATTTCTGCTAGAAGAACAACGCCTATTATGGTTGAGTACAAAGCCAGACAACAGGTATTTTCTCTCAGAGCGCCTATGCAACCACTAAATCCAATCACAAAAATAATGAGACCTTAAAAAATATGTCCATATTAAATATGACTTTTTAAAAGCCTCTTCAACAGAAAAATATATAAATAAATAATGAAAAGCATTGCTCTTCCTTCAGTATTTCGTAAAAGTGGAAATCAAATAAATCAGATATTAAATGTAAAAACAATTACCCAATATAGTGAGAAAAAGAACTGGATCTAAATATAACTTCGATAATCTGTTAAGCTGGGAATAAGTATTGTTCTTCTCATAATGCGCCCAAATACTGATTGCCAAAAGAGCAAAACCAAAGACGAAGAAGAATATATTAGACGCGAAAATGCTGTACTTTAAGCAACAACTTATTTCCGACGGCCTGAACTCTGACGCGATCTACAACAATTGATATAATCCATGGAAAAATTAACTGGCTTATTAACTGGTTTACAAAAACAAAACGACTCTAACAAACTTAAAATCTAGATAATACGCCAATTAGTTATTAGCCTAAAAAATTAATTTGACAGCAAACACATCCTTAAAAACAAAGGCTACTGGATTTTTCTGCAACACCTAGCTATTGGGTTGTTGCACATAAGTTTTCGTTCATGTACTAAAGATTCAAAACCTTGCAAATTTTTTCATATTAGACATAACCAACTTAAAAAAACAATTCTCAAGCCTGAGTTTTCTTTCAATCAATAGAAAAGTGATTTAAAAATTCTAATTCCTTAAAAATTTCACCCATAAGATTTAAAGAACTTAGCGTAAGCGTCGCGGTTTAACCATCTTATTCATCTGGTTTTCACCCATATTCAATTATTTAATTCACTACGACAACTTTGTCAGACGCAAAGTACACTTCGGAAATTGCGTTGCTAAGAACGCCTTTTTTGAATTCTTGAAATCTTCTGCGCTAAAATCTCAAAAAATTAAAAATTTAGGTGGACATCCAATTAGAAAATAAGTAAGCGAACAAAAACAAAGATCAAAAAGGCGCTGACTTTAATTACTCATCCTCAATATAGAAGTCATGAGACTTCAAGACCATACTGCGCGAGCAAACAATTCATATGCAGTAAAATAATAACAGAAACCACTTGAGTAACTCCTATTGGTTTTCAATTGCAAAGCACCGTTTAATGTTTCCTGCATGGAAAACTATTAATATTAGTGAATGATACGTTGTTTATACAGGAGCGGTTTTTAAACAGTTAACTTGAACAGTACAAAAGCAATACGAAATAAGTACGTTGTAGAATAACACGAAAAACTGCTAACTTTTTCAAGTTCACTATTTTGTAAACTAATCTTCTTTAACTAGTATAGAACTTAAAATTGCATTTCTGCTTCATTAACTGTAGCGTACAACTTTGAGCCACTCACGAAGCAATTTGGAAGCAGAGAAATTTTTTAACTTTCTAAGGTCAAAGTCTAGAAGAGTTGTTACTATTGATGACTGCGGCGCTGTTCTAACGCCGACCAAATTAGTAGCTTAACACTCCTGAACCTCGTTATTTTATTACTGTATGCTATAATAACTAAATTTTAGCTTAATGTTGTCCGCACTAAAAATAAATAAATAAGTAAGCACCAATCAAAGGTTTTACAAAACCTTGATTTCAATCATATATGAAGTAACAGAGTTAGACAGAAAAAAGAAAAAAAAAGCGTCTGTGGTCAGCTATTAAAACTCAGGAAAGCGAAATCACACAATCGGCAAAAAATTCTTAGATTTATTCTACTCTCTCTGCGAAACAACTACGGATGGCAAACGTCAAACCTTATAACAGCTACATCCTAAGCTAAGTAAAAAGATTTGCTTAATGCTGTGAAATGAACCTTAAGTAAAAATAAAAGTTTAGCGCAGCTGCGATTTAATAACTTCTGAAGATAGAGGCCGTATAAAACACTGGAAATATTAAAATCTATAAATCAAAAATGAAAAGAATTTTTGAAGCCATGTTCATCCGTTATAAGAATGCAACATCAGTAATTTCGTTGGCAAAAATGCACTAAATACAGTGTAAATGCACTAAAACACTGTGAATTTTGATAGGTGAAAAAAGTTTCTACCAAATGTCTGTAACGAATGTTAAGAAACATTAAAAAAAAAAAAAACGTAAAAAATCATTGCTTTAAATAATTACAGAAGGTAAGATTATAAAATCAATGTGCAAGACGTTACCTGATGAAAACGACGACCCCTTGATTTGGACCTAGATGAATGATGACTCCTGTGGCGGTGACCTTCCGATGTTCGGTCCATCAGTGTTTCTTGGATACTCCACAACAACTGACGCGAGGCTTAATTATCGCCTAGAACGTGTTCACCATTAAACCGTCATTGTTATGTGAAGATCGATTTTTCGACTGAAGATAAAAATTAAAAGTTAAAAAAAACTTCATCAAGAACATTGTAAAATAGAATAGACAAGGAACGCAGGAAAACAGTATATCAAAAAATTTGTGCTTTGATGACAAATTTACATAAAAAAACCAAATGAGATAAAATATAGTATTGAAAAACAAAAATGCAACCCCGTCCAGTCATAAGTAAATATTCATCGCTTCTCTAAATGAAAGAGAAAAAGAGAAAGGAAAGAAAGGAAAAACCAGTCGATTTAATGTCATTAAACTTAAACGTGGAAGATAAGATTCAGTAACAGTTCAAAAAACGCGTTTTTCTGTGACCAACTTTCACACCTGTAACACGTTTAACACGTTTAGTTTGCATAAACCCTAAAACAAAAAAAAGTAAAAAATATCAACGAATTTTTCAGCAAAAAAATGACCTTATTCTATGCGAAAAAGAAAAAGCAGGAAAAAAAGCGCAAAAAAAGGTGATGTAACAGAAAAAGGGAAAAAGTAAAATATAAATAATTGGAAATCCAGTGTTCGGATCTCAAAATTTAGTTTGCAGAATTAGCTAAAAGTGTGCTATACTTATATATTATAAATCTTGTAACTATACCTCAACTGTATAGCTATGTGATTGTATAAGTAGGTAAAGAACAGTTGTAAAAATAAAGGTTGGCAATTTCCAAGATACCAACCACTACCATCACCAATAACGACAACAAACAACAACAATAACAACAGCTACAACATCGACGACAACAATTGTAATAGCTGTCGCAGAAGAATAATAAAAGATAAGTAAAATAATAGATGAAAACAAAAAAAAAACCACTCAACAAAACCTCTGCATTTGTCGAACTAAACTAAAACCAGACTTTAAAAAGCATTAAAAACCTAGACGATCAATATAGAGTTCACATTTGCCCATAAAATTTTTCTGAAAAGCATAACAACAACAATAAATGTAGATGCAAAAAAAAAAGCCACTGTAAGAAACAATAACGATGACGAAGCAAGATTGAAAAAAAAAAAAAAAAGAGAAAAAAAAGCAGATGAATAAGCAGCGATAAGGAAAGAAGAAAATGAAACTGCACAGTGAAACTATTCAGTAAATATAAGGGAACTGTAGCAAACATCAAAGGAATCAGATAGACGCCACACAGTGTTAGCTGAATTAAAAAAAAAGCAGCAAAAAATGAAACCACCGTTTAAATAACAGATAAACAATTGGTTTGTGCAGAACAGTAATAATTATCAACCGCCTTCTTTCAGCTCCATTCCATCCACAGCAAATCCACTCACTTCGTTGAACACATTTCGGACAGACACTACCAGAATCTTCAATAACAAATATAGCATATGTAGCAGCAATTTTTAGCCAGCCAATCAGCCATTAATATTTAATCTAGAAAACATAATTTTCACAAAAAAGTCAGGTAATTATTTCAATTAAACATTTTACTAAATTTTCATAAACCACTAATCTGACTGTTCAAACCATCAATGTATATAGTTCTGAATGTT